TGAAGATCTTTTGCTTTTAACCTATAAGAAGTTATAAATTGTACTCGAACAATCGTTCAACGTAAATGTTAAATTAAAAATAAATTCCTATATTTTGACATAACGAGCGGTCAAAATTGTGGCAGCTCGTCCATACTAATTTTAAACAGACCTTAAATAGTACTTACTAGTACGATTGAACTTTTTTCCGGAATGTAGAGGAGTTCAAAACGGTAGAATGTTCAAGAGCGATAAAGATAAAAATAGGCATTTTTTTATTGAGTTTGCGTTCTTGTAAAATTTATCCGATTACGATGAATCTCTAGCGAATGGTGCGCTCGCAATGATTGCGAAGCTAGCGCAAGAACATTACAAAAAAAAATAAAGAGGCAAAGCTCCGCGTGTAGCGCGTCATCTAGTCTATTATTTCTACTCCTTATTCGTTTCAGTATTACCATACTCATTAAAAAAAATAACTTCTAATTTATAATTTCGTTTCTTGCAAGATCATGATTTTCAGTCAGTGGGAAGCTCATTAAGATTTGTTGAGTAATCTTGATAAATATAATTAAAACTGTCCATGCCGTGGGCCTTAAATTTTATAAGGCACGCCGCACAAATAAAACCCAATAACTCTCGGATCACACTCTCAACCCCTTGGGCAAAACACGTGAGATGCGGCTGCAGTATTTAACTGACATGTCAGACTACAGACGGCTTAATAGGCAGATCTCCAAATATATGCGGCGAGACTTACGCAACTTCAATACAGCTCGCATTGAGGGAGCTATAGAGCAGAACCTAGGCTCAAAAGTCTGCGCCAGAGATCTGTCTATCGGGCAAAGCCAACTGATTAAGTTGAAGACTGACAGCGGGGCTATTATCTCCAGTAGACCAGAGGGTTTTGAGTGATATGGAGAGGTTGTATGGACATCGTCGTGGGAGCCACACACGTGTGAGTAACGACCCCAGAGCAAAGCTTATCTGACACTATTTCGAGAATATCCTGGACGTCAGTCTGAGAGAGATTAGAATGGCTCTTGACCATCTTAATAATGGCAAAGCATCAGGAGAGGACGAAATTACAGCAAAGCTTCTGAAAGCGGGTGGAGAACCGGTACGTGGTCCTTCAGAGTCTCTTTAATACCGTCCTTCAGAATGGTGCTACAACAGAGGCGTGGAGCAGAAGAGTGGTGGTGCTGTTCTTCAAGAAAGGCGATAACGCTCTCTTAAAGAACTATATACCAATATCCCTTCTGAGCCGCGTCTATGTGCTGTTGTCAAGAGTCATCTTGAATCGTCCCGCTTCCAGACTCGACGACTTTCAGCCTCCCGAACTAGCCGGATTCCGAAAATGCTTCAGTACCATAGACCACATACACACCTTGCGGCAGATTACACAGAAGACCGAAGAGTATAATCTGCCTTTGTGCCTAGCGTATGTGGACTATGAGTAAGCCTTCGATTCTGTCGAAATTTGGGCGGTACTCCAGGCCCTTCAGCAGTGCCAAACTGACCGTCAGTATATCGAGGTTCTGAGGTGTTTGTATAACAAGGCTACGATGTCCGTCTAAGTACAGTCCAGTAGTACAAAACCTATCCAACTGAAGAAAGGTGTAAGATAGGGTCATGTTATATCCCTTCAACGCTGCGTTGGAAGATGTTTTCAAGCTTATGGACTGGAAAGGACGTGGTATAAACATCAATGGAGAATACATCACCTGAGAACACATCAATGGAGGACCTTAGTACTATACTTAGTACTTTATAGGTGGTAGGAACACGTAACAGTGTTCGCCGTTGCACAAATGGGCAGGTCGGTCCGGGTCAGTACCACGACCTCACAGAAGACCGGCGTAAATTAGAAGTGTTGCATTTCTGCGTTTCGGCTTGTGAGTGAGCCAGCCGGGGCCCACATTATTAAGAGGTTGGGTGAGGAAGTCGATGGATGCAGGCATGCAGGTGGCTCGAGATCATGCTTCGTGGCAGTCTATGGGGCCTATGATCAGTGGTGGACTCAAACAGGCTGAAATGATGAGTAATTTTAAGAATTAAAAAATGCAGCTTTGTCTTGAAAAAAACTTAACTTTTTTTTTCCTATCACGGTTGGCTGGTATGATTTTATTCTTATTCTGGGGTGTTTTTGTCTAACTGGTACATCGAAACGGAAACCCTCGGCAGGAGAGTCCTTACAGATTACAGATAGGGAAAGAAACAATTATCTATTAATAACAATGTCAACTATATTTATCTAATATTAATACTTCATCCGCCCCCTTCAGCCTCGTGCCAAAGAGGCAAGTTGCTTTGATTTGCCAATTAAGTTCCCCGGAAACTCTGCTCCGATGACTGTTGGAAGCACGAAGTTAGGTCATAGAATACATTATCATTATAACTTTTACGAAACTGATAACAACTAAAATATACTTAGACTTTATTTATAATAAATGTAAATGCAGTCTCTAGAAATGTATATTTTATATCTAGTTAATAGTTTTGAAAGCGAATATGCGGGGATTTTTCTAGAATTTTAAAATTTTCGAACATCATTTAATTTATTAATGGTGTCGTGTTCGCTATTTATCCTTACTAATATTATAAAGGCGAAAGTTTGTATGTATGGATGGATGTTTGTTACTCTTTCACACAAATACTACGGAATTGATTTTATTGAAACTTTACAATAATATAGCTTATACATCAGAATAAGACATAGGCTATAATGCAGATTTAATGTATATCTGTCTTTCTGTCTGTATGTTACGCCTTCAGCCTATTCTACCCAGACGTAGTCGCGGGCAGCAGCTAGTACAGCATATATATTTAAAAATCGGAAGCTATATAACGCTTAACACTTTTCAGTTCCTTTGTCATTCAGTTACCCCTTAGTCGCGCCTAAAGAAATTTTACTTTAAAAAGTAACTACCGTATGATTTTAGGCTTCTCTACTTCATATCAATATTCTATGAGGTTCTAGTACTTACCGCTCTAAACAGATCAAATACGACAATGTTGCGCTCTGCCAATGAAACCATTTTATTTTAGTGTTTCTGTATTTTCGCAGATAACATTTAACTTTCTTACACGTTTAACACAGACGGGATAAAGGACAGTTTACCCTAAACATGTTTATAGTTTTAAAATCTATATAAAGCTGGTGAGTTGGTATGTGTCCGCTAAGAAACTACCAGTCGAAAAAATACTTTTCGTTCTCAATTATGGAATACATTAAATAAAATATTATAAATAAATGTTTGTACATGGGCATAACACTTGATGTATTAAAAAAATCTCTTTGTTGGAACAGTGAAAAACGAAGAAAAATGTCGATTCAGATTTTATGCCCAAGTAAAAAAAACCTTGTAGCGTAAACCCCATAAAATATTTGTAACCATACACGGTGCTTTTATCGAACCAGATGCGATATTGGGCGAGATATCTTAAGCCTGATTAGAACAGATAGTCTTGAGCGGTTCGCTCGATAGCCGCCATTTTTCTTTTCTTTTTTTTCTTTTTATGGCTTCCTACCAGTGAGTGCATGCATCGTTTTGGCTCCCCGTCGTTCTGTGTTTAAATAATTTAAAAATAACATTATTTTATTTATGTAATAAAATATTTTAAAAAAGAAGTAATCATATGACGATTGAAGTTTCATTAATTTATTTAATTCACGAGGCACTATACGAGCCTTGTTACCAGCTAGTTAAGTTAGCAGTTTCAGCGTGTTTTTATGTTTAATTATTTTTTTAAAAGAAGAAGGAGAAAAAGGCATCCAGATATTGTTGATAACAGTACTAAACTAAAAACAGATTATGTAAGTGACTCCTCAAAAGAAGAAACAATAAATTCTGTAATGAAATAAGTCTCGAGTTATAAACAGCGGGCCGGAGCAGTTGTGGCCTCGTGATAGGGGAAGTCTGCACCCGATTTAAGGTCACGGATGCAGTGTCTGTACACTAGCGAGTTTTTTTTTAATTCCTTACGTTAAGTCAATGGCTCGTATTTAAGTCCGATTTGATTTCTCAGGTTCTCGCCCTCCATAAACTTGGATAGAATTAAACATCCCTGTGTATCCTCTATAATTAAAATGGAGATCTCCAATTCCCAAAAAGCTTTGAACAAAGCGGCAAAGAACGTTGTTGTATCCCACCTACTTTAAAAAAACAATACGTTATACTAATAGTATATCAGCTTAACCGAGTAGTAAAGCTTTAGCTCAAAGTGGCATAATTATGACCACATGATTTTGTTTGTTTGAGTTGCTAATATATTATAACATTGGTCGAGATCGGAACCTTGGACTTATGACGCATTGAGCAGGTACACTGACCGATGAGCAATGTGGTCACCAGCTTTAGTAATTTGCCCGAAACCGGTCGGCAGGCAATTAGTAATATTTCTTTCCCACTCTATTGTCTATGCCAGAAATGTTCAGAGTCGTACCTATTTCTAGTTTTATAATTCCAATAATTCTAGTTTTATAATTCGATAAGAATTGCCAGCGACGAATCAGGTTGCAAAATTGTTTAATCCGACCTCAGTTGGATGCGGTTGCCGAACAGAAATTAAAAAATATATGCTTCGAAGTGAAGGCAAGTCTGCGAAAATTTAGGTCACGATTAGAGCACTGCTTAGCGCGGAGAATATAATTGATTAAAACGTATCACGACGAAACCCCGCGTCCATTGTTCGAGCGGCTCTCAAACGGCAAACTGATAGAAACAATAAACGCATTCATTACATTTTGATAAGGCGACGCGCCGCCATCTTTTGTTTGTCGCGCTGCAAGCGTTCGCCTAATCAATTCGAATAAAGAACAACAAATAAATGATCCATGGATTTCAACACAATATAAATTTCAACGCCACAGATAATGTAACGTGTAGTTTTTCAATCCGCGAGATTTCGGTTAGGCCGAGTTGCGCGATGAGTTTCGCGAAACGCCGTGGTACGAAACATTCATTATAGCACTACGACATGCATCGACACCTTGTAGCATCGCTGTTCGCATCGCCGCCTCACAAAAGCGCCAATGGATGGGACGCGAGCGAGATTAGCCGCCCGCAAATACGCAGCGACGATAAACGGCCGCCTGACGGCCCCTGCGTCGATTGAGTCACGAACGCCGCACTGTTTTCTACCGCCGCATTCTTCTGCGATAATTTAGTTTGCAGCATATCCACGGTGCCATGTACACTGCTCGTTTATTACGTGTCTCGGTATTATTTAACAAAGAAATGAAGTAATGTAACAACGCATACTTCGCGTTTCATGTAGCAGCCGGAACGTGTAAGAGATCGGTGTACAGAGCTGACACGTCGCTCGACTCCTCCATGGTCGAGTTTTTTTGTTTTGGACGACGACCGCACGTTGATGTGAAAATGAAGGATGACTAAATTATTGTGTCACTTGTTCATAAGTAATTGTCAAAAATTTTACTTGCAATGGGTTTTTAGTGGACGGTGTTGCGTTTATATTGTTCAAACTCATAATTTTCCTAGCCATTTGAGATGTATAAGTCATCACAAGGGCGACTGAGCGAGACATTATACATTTTCTAAGCTAATATACGATTTATAATTTTTATAATTTGTGAAATTAAATCGTTATAAAAATATGTTACACGTTTAATCACGTTTATTTGAAATATACATGAAATTCCCGTACTTTATGCAGAGTATTCGAAACATACAAATAAAAAGATATATTGAATAACAATTAGGTACACAATAACTAAATGAAAAAAATTATGAATTGAATATTTTTTTTAATTGAAACATTTGTAAAATATCTTACTATATCTAAACTTTACGTTAACGGATATAATTTCAATTAAATAAAAAAAAAACAATTGCAACAGTTTCGCAATCCTCAGCAATTTGCAATTTTGGCGCAAAATTACGTTAAAATTTAACGAAACGAACTCTCGCATCATAACGCACTGTGGAAACGTGATCGTCATGCGGGAATAGACAATTTTTATTTTCTGTCCTTGAACGGGAGATCTACGTTCAAATTATACGCTAATTAGTCCGCACGACTACTAATTTCGGCCTTTATCGTACCACAATACAAGCAGATAATTATTTCAAAGCTTTTTTAATTTCCCATGTTGACGAATCAAAGCGTTAACATCGTTTAGGCGGACTTAAACCTAGTGCGGACGTGACCGCTGCGGCGCAGGTTTTCCGTTCGGAAAATAAATATTGAAAAACTAATCAATTTTTAGTTCTTTCAAATCGTTGTCTTGCTAAAAGTTTGTTTTTAAAATATTTGTTATTTGCATTTATATTATAGTTTTAGTTTAAAGTTTAGCACGATGCATATAAATGACGCAATAGGCGTTATACATCACGGAGATATATTTTTACGCGAGAGCTTTGTAATTAAGCACCGTTCTATCGCATTAATGACGTTTTAGAATTTACACTTGTTCGATGTGCAATAACGCCCCACATTGGAGGCGAACATAAATAACGACGACAATTGATCGGGCACTATATTGTTATACTATGCAGGTGCTATAGCCGTTATCGGTTGATTAACAGCGTTAACGCAATGATCGTGGCATAACACGCCCCGTCGAATGCGAACACCGGTAAGTGCTAAAGTTGTCAACCGTCACCACAGAATGAGAGTCTGGCGGAAACAAAAAATATACATAATCGAGTATATTAAAAGAAACCTTTACACACACCGCAGTGAGCGTATTTTGAAAGAGGAGTCGAAACGCACGAACAAAGGGCAACGCAAGTCGCACGCGACAATTGCAACCCGACCGGTTCGCGTGGCGCGTTGCGTGCGCCGCGCGCGCTCCGCGGCCGCGTCGTTCGCAAATCGTCCGTCTAACGTACCCGCGGTCAGCCTCTCCGCTTGCCCCAGCGCACGCCAGCCGGGCACTACGCTCTCGCACACCTCGTCCCAGCAGCGCGCCTTCGCCGCCCGGTCGCCGTAGTTCGCGTGGTTGGTGTCGAAGAGGCACGGCCTCCGCTCCACCTCCGACACGATCTGGCTGCTCTTGATGCCGTCGGCGTCCTTCGTGCGGACCATCGCGACGGGCGACGCGCGCGGCTCCAAAAAAAAGTTTACGCGGGAGGAAATTTGAATTTGGAGCGCGACGTTCGAAATTAGGGGGGGGTCGCTTCGGAGCGTGGTCAGTGCGCTCGCGAGCGCGGTACGCGACGGCGCGTCCGAGAGCCCGCGTGAAACTGGCGGGCCGCTTCCGAGTCGGGCGGTCGCGGCGCAGCGGGCGAAACATGGCCGCTCCGCTGAGCGGGGATACGTATAGGTGCGAGTCCGCGCCCGGCGCGATATCGCCTTCCGCGCGGCCGGCAAATAAATAAGATGCGTGCCGTGTGTCCCATTCGCGGTATATGCTCGCTAAGCGATTTGAAACGACACCCGAGTACTCGCCGTAGGGACGGTGAGCGCAATCGACGAGAAAACAAATGAATGGCGTCCTATTTAAAAACGTGATGCACTAACGCGATTAAAGTGAGGGATTCATTAGCCGGTTGCACAATTTTGTCGGGATTCCGCACACGTTTAATGTGCATCTGTCAAGACATGTAGTAAAAGTTTGAATATATTAGATTGTAAATATCTCGCTAAAAAGTAATTTTATCTATACATTTTATAGCTGGGCAACGGCCTCTTCCGTATGTTGCGTGTAAGGACTTCGCCACGTATTAGCATTGATATATTCTTTAAAAATTCTTATTTTCAATTATTTGTATTTTGCTTTCCCGCATGGCACTATTTTTTTTTGATGTTAAAAGTTGTTCGTCTGTATAGTGGCACTTCCCAGGTAGGGCCTGCCCATTCGTGAAGTTTAAGCTTTAGCTGAAAATGAGTTTATTACACTCTCAAATTTTCAAAAACTCTTAGCAAATGTTACGGTCAACAAATAGTGTAAAAATAACAATGGCGTCCTTCGATCTCTTCACTTCGCGCAATTTAGATTAGATGCACTCAAAGGTTGTTGCTTGAGGCTCCAGCAGGTAATATTATAAAGGCGCCAATTTGTTACTTCACGGTGTAACTGCTGAACGGATTCGGATGAGATTCTGTTGCTATAAAGGTTGAATGAATTTAAGAGACAAAACATACTGTTAGAAGGAGAGGCTTGTAATACGACGCTGTGACGCAAGTTGTATAGGTAGGATGTTACAAAAAAGCGTAACGTTTTTTGTTCTTTTTTAATGAATTTAATTAGTTTGTTTGAAAAATATTTTTTTTTTTAATTATGGCTTTTGTTTAACGTTAATATTTTTTTATGATTATTGGCATGTAGCGTTGTTCATTTATTGTCGCGATGGTAACGACACGCTGTATACATATATATATATATATATATACATAAACATACATATATATATACATAGAAATATAAACCACATATATTCAACAATGGAATTGATCTGCCGATAAGTTTTTAAGGATGTGTTATGCGAAGCGCGAAGTTTTTGTTGCTGACAGCACATAAATATTGAAAATGATGGGATAAGTAACTCGGGGTGGAAGAAGAGTTCAGAAAAGAGTACAAAATGGTCAGAGCTCTTAGGCAACGTCGTTGGCGAATGTTATATTCAATGTTTTATTTTATTCATTACAAAAGTGTCAAAAAGGTTGCTATAGATTACAGATGATAAAAAATGTCTCTAATAAGCGATTTAAATAGCACTTTGTGCATTTATTGGCTACGATTTAAACAAAAAGGCATTGAGTTAATATGTATAAAAACTGTTTTTTTAACTCATAACAAAATGGAATAATCCTTTTGGTAAAGAAATAACTCAATGAAACAGGAAGATTTTTCTCAATGGCTAATACGCCAAAGTAACATGCAATAAATGTAACGGGCCGAGGAAAGGATAGCTCAAGGACTGAAAGATGTACGGAAAGCGACAGTAGTAATAACCCAAACAAACTTGTTTGGGTACTTATCCTTTTCTACTGTAGAAAAGGATTGTAGAAAAGGATTCTACTGTAGAAAAGGATAAGACAATTAATGATATTGAATCTATAGCAGCGTGGTACGCCAACAGTATTGCTGTAATTACTATACAGCACGCAACAGCTTTTGTTGCGGTTCTCACCACCCCCAGCCACCGACTAACCAAGCACAGTCTACGGCCATCGGGTTTACAGTCCGCATCAATCCTCAATGGCCCATAGGTGACATGTCATAATTAACGCACGCATAAGTACATGCGCGGCCCTACCCACTAGGGTGGCCTCAAACCCGTGGGTTAATAGTCTAAGGACTGAAAGCTTAACATGAGTTATACAACAAGTATAATTTTTAACAAAAACAACCGACTTCAGTCAGAAAAATAAAAACATTGTTAATACTTATAACATTCAATGATGGCCCTTGGGCCCTTTCCGAAAAAAAAAAAAAGAATCATCAAAATCGGCTCATAAACGACGAAGTTATCCACGAAAACACATAAAAATATATATATGTACGGTCGAATTGAGAAACCGCCTCCTTTTTTGAAGTCGGTTAAAAAAAAAACCTTCTGCTGTTTCACGAATGGGCGGTCTCTTCCAGGTAAGTACCTACCACGGCCTCACAGAAGACCTGCGAGAAGTGGGTTTATTATACGTGTTTCGTCTATCGAGTGAGGTAACCGAGACCTGCTTTTTTTAAAGTTGTGAACGCATCTAAAAAGTCTTCAGGTTTTGTAATGTCCATGGGCATCGGTATTCAATTAACATCAGGTGACCCACGCTTGATAATCTTTCAAAAAATTTTCTAAAACAGAAACCTTTCTGTGAAAATTTGCCAATACTTAGAGGTAACCCCGTTAGTACGCGTACAAATATACAGTAGGCGAAGGAAGAAATATAAACATTAAGCCATCATAACATTCTGGCATTAGAAAGAGAAGATGAATTAAAATTTTGAGTTGCGTACTAACTGGAAGAAAGGTACATACCAGAGTCGGGTCTCTCAAATTGCCAAAAACCAGGCGTGAACAACGCACCTACACGTTTATGAACACTTTAAATAGATTTACTTGCACAAACACATTTTGTGCAAGTAAATCTATATAATTTTACAACTAATTTACACGTTGTCTACCAAAACTAGTCCACGCGGCGTAACGCCAAAAACGCTAGCTGCATTACCTCGCCGAATAATTTTATACACTTAGCTTTTGAACGAGAAAAGAACCAGCCTTCTTATCACAAGCCACAACAATTATTTGCCCACATAAACTTCGAAATAAACCTTTCAGAGGTTAATTTGTTTGTTGGTTTTGGATGTAATAGCCCGTCCCGGCCGTGCCAAATAATGAATGCTCAAACTAAAGCAATTTGTTTTATTTAAAGGTGAAAATATTTTACGTAAAAACATAAAAAAAAATCAACATTACACAATTCATGCTGCATGCTGCACGCTTGCTTGCATGACTACGGTTACCATGTGGTCTCAATCATCATCTATGTATCTCATTTGACTATTGTTATGATGCCCAAGCACATAAATCTTCTGTAAACGTATAAATATTAAAATAGACATTAATACATTGAGCAAAACAATGCATATATGCTTCTCAATTGTTGAATAAACTTAAGTGTTAATAAAGACAAAAGAATAAATTTAGTATTAATAAATTAATGTGATGAAGTCTGATGGCTCAAGACCGTGCTTCGAGGAAGTCCGTAAGGAGGCCTGGCCTATCTTCAGCAGTGGATTCTACACGCTGAAATGATAATGAAATTGTTGATACCCTTAACGTTTGAATCTTTCACTGAAATTATAATTTTATGGGTCTTGTAAATTGTTATGTTCAGAGAGGTCCTGTGATTAGCTTATAAAGTCCCTAAGTTTGTCTTAAACTTAGGAATTTTCCCACTCAAAGTTCCCTACAACATATACACATATTATTGCCATGTAATCTCGCTCAGAACCATCGTCGCAATCACGTGACGTAATAGCGAGCCAATGCGCTTTGTTGGGAAGTTTGAATTTTAACGCATTATCTCCATGTTTCCGGATCGTGTTTTATAAACTTTTTTCAATATCTGTGGTTATCATATTCCGCTTTCGCCTTCACTACAGCAGCACGACACGTAACACAGCTACGGAAACTTTTAATGCTTATGAGCATCGAAATATTATTATTGTTGCTCTATTGGCGTTCTATTTAACGTCTGTTCCGCTTCTGAACTGAGGGAACACAAATTAGCGTAGTGGATAGGCAATCTATCTCTTGCGTGAGAGGCTGTTGGTTCGATCCATACTACAGTGTGGTCAAAGTGGTATTTTTCTAGTAATCCGAGTGTTTATACCTCATCGGATAAGATGAGTGTTTATACCTATTCACTTAAAGAAACTTCTGAATTTTCAATGCTGGTAAAAAAAAAATTACTGACTTCGTATTTAGAACGTTTTATTAAAAAAAAAACAAAATAACTCAGAAGATTCTTTTATCGCTCCCACAAACGATATAATGAAAATTCAAGTGTAGATGACAGAAAACAACTTGTGGCAACGCATCTACAATCCCACTATTGTTAAAAATGTCAATGGCGCCAGTTACCACTTAACAGATAAACTGCCAGCTCGTTTGCCACCTTCTCACATTAAAAAAAGAAGAAATAATAGTGGTCACCCTGTGTTAGGACTGCAACAGTGATAAAAGCTATGAAGGCGCGAATCCAAAGAAATTCCATGCGTAAGCAGAAACGTTTTTTTTTTTTTTAAACATTGTCCTTACTTTAGGATAACAGTATCCCGTGTTGTAAGGTTTTACACACAGAAATTTCAAACGCCCAGATGCGAAACAATTATCTGTGCGTCACATAAGCATTTATCCCGTGCGGGAACCGAACACACGGCCCCCAGCGCCAACGCAAAAACCTTGGCAACTACGCCACGGAGTGCTTCATATGGGATTACGCAGAACCACAGAGAAAAGGGTGTTGGATGAAGACTTAGAGCTTCGAGATTAACGGATTTTAACAGATCATCGTTTCAATGCACGTTTAACCGACCTGAGACTGAAGAAATCTCGCTTTTTATAAAATGGTACGCGGAAGAAAAACGCCGTGCAATTGTTTTTGTCGAATGAAAAATATTTTTACAACAGTTGCCCATTAAAGCGACAGGTTACGCTGCTCGCTAATACCATTGTATTAGCAATGTAGCTTAGCTTAGCTTTTGCTTGCGATGTAGCTTAACATAGCAAGATATGATTTTCATTTAGTGCTAGTATGCCTTCAAGGTTCGTTATCTAAAAGAGTCAAGTTCGAATTCAGGCAGCGCCGAAAGTTCTTTAACAAATTATCTAATAAACTCACTTCACAGGTGAAAGAGTTCGAAAGTGCGGGTACAATTAGTTGACATAAAACGCGGTTTGATTAGACGAATGTTCAATAACCACGTGATCGTCAGCGAAAAACGACGTCGTAAGGTTTTCCATAGGTATTTTCTTTCTGATGCGAAATATATCGATGATTTTAAAGTGGGCCCACCTTTTAATAAGGTGGGCCCACCTTTTAATAAAGTGGGCCCCGGCTACCTCACTCACCAGACGAAACG